AGAGCGAGCACTGTTTGTCATGTACCCAAGAGCCATTTCTCCTCTCCTTCTTTCAAGCTCACAGAACCCCAATTCCTTCAGGTAAGGACAGAGCTTCTCTTCATCTACCTTGATCTACCCCAGCCCCAAGGGAAGGATTGTGATTGGTCTAAATCAGTCACGGTCATCACATTCCATTTTGCCAGTGATCGGTCTGGAGGTGGGCATATGTCCCAGCTCTGGTTAATGAGAAATAAGGGAAAGTCTGACTTCCTTTCCCCAACCTGAAACAGAATTTCAAGAAGAGAAAACCTTTGGCCTCTGCCCTGTCCTTCCTACTTGGCACTGGTGTGAGAACGTGATGCTGAAGGGGTGGCATCCATGAAGCAATAGCGCAAGGACACAATAGAAGAATAGAAGATCAGAAGGAGCAGGATTCTTGTTGGTGCCCTGGAGCTACTGCACCTGCCCTCCTCCAGGCTTCTGGTTTTAAGAGATGACTAAATGCTGTTATCGCTTGAGTCACTGTTACTTGCAGCCAACTGCATATGTAAATTGGTGTAATCTCTAAGGAATGTAACTTGGCGATTATATTTCTATTTTGAATGTGTATACTTTTTGACTCAACAAATCTACTCAGAATTTCTCCCACAGATATACTCATACAGGTATATTTAAATATATGGTATATCTAAATATATGAGTCACATCATTATGTATGTAACAATATGGTTAGATTGATTACGGCACATCCATAAAATGAAATAAACGCTGACTTTAAAAAGATTAGTGCAGGAGTGGATTGGATGTGAGCTTCCTGCCTCAGCCCTCTTTGTTCCTCTCCTCTGGAAGGACTCAGATCTCTACCAGCTGCCCCCATCGTTGCTCCAGTGACTCTATGACAGCTGCTCAGCCTCTCTGGATGGATTGCTCAAAATGCTGAGCAAGGGGCCGCCCCATGGCCTAGTAGTTAAGTTCAGTGTACTCCACTTCGGCAGCCCGAGTTTGGTTCCTGGGCACGGATCTACACTGCTTGTTGGCGACCATGCTGTGGCAGCAACCCACATACGAAATAGAGGAAGATTGGCCAGATGTTAGCTCAGGGTGAATCTTTCTCAAGCAAAAAGAAGAAGGTTGGCAGCAGATGTTAGCTCGGGGCGAATCAGGAAAAAAAAATTGCTGAGCAAGGCTAGCGTGGATCCTAAGGAATCATTACTTCCCCAGAAACATGACATGCATGACTTCTTTGAGAGACTTATGGGCAAGAGGAACATCCAGCCAGACACTCCTATTGATGTGAACCAAGAGAACATCCCCAGCTTTGGCACCCTCAAGTATCCCCCCAATGTGGAATGAGCATCACTTCTGGACTCCTGGGCTGCGTCATGAAGACATTCTGTCACACTGTCCCAGTCCCCAGGTGCAAGCACTCCCATTCCCTTTCTCTTCCCCATCCTTGTAACACTCCTGTGCTTTGACTCCTTCCCCATCTCTCCACCCCATCCTGACATGGAAACTGCATAGTGATCATCCCCAATCCCAGTGGGTATTGACTATAGATTCCCCTGGAATTTCTGTATGTCCTACATTAAAAATATGACGTCTCTCTCTACTCCTCAACAGTAAAGGATTTTTACATATGAAAAAATAAATAAAAAGATTGGTGTAGCTCTATATATACTGGTAAGAAATGATATTCTAGATCTGCTAAGATATATGTATGCTGGTAAGAAATGATATTCCAGATATATTAAGTGAAAAAAGTGAGATTAATAATGGTTGAAGCTGGATGATGGTTACATGGAGATTTGTTATGCCATGTTTTCTTATAAATGTGTTATGGAGATTAGAAATTTTCCAAAATAAAAAAATTTAAAGGCAAGGGGCAGGAACAGTAGTGTGGATAGTATGATATCATTTGTGTGGGTTTTTTTTTTTTAAGAAAATAGATATATGAAGGAGAGAAAAAGAATATCCATGGAAGGACACTCCAGAAACTGGATATTCTTTTATAAATTAATAATTTATTAATCAGTCAAAGCAAAAATCAGGTAGGTAATGGAGAGATAGAGAGATAGACAGACAGACAAGCAGTCCATATCCTTGCAATGTGGTCTCAAGTGCTCCTTGATGTTCAGGCAATAACTCTGGTCCAATCCACCCTGTGACCCTAAAGAAGGTGATACTGAGACAAGTAACCTGTGGCTGCCAAGGCCCCTGCAAATAAGCTAAGGCCTCACTTAGGGCCAAGTTACAAAGATGTTGGGTTCCCAGGAAAACTTGATTGTAGTGAGTGCTACAGCCCATGTATGAAAAACAACACAAAACACCATTTCCGTGGGAGGTAAAAGATTTCTCTTTAAAACATAATTCCTTTGCAGACGTTTTTTAAAAGCAGAAAAGTACAAAGAGATTAAAAATCATTCCTAATCTCACCCCCCATAGTGACAAGGTATACTGATGTGAATGTGTGTGTGTTGACACATGTATAATCAGAAGACGCATACCATTTTGTAATCTGATTCTTTCCACTTCACGAAATATAATTATTTTTTCTACATCATTAAATATTATTTTACAACATAATTTTAAATGTGTGTATATTGCTCTAATGTGGCTTTTCAGTTATCTTACCAATTTCCTATGTTGGACAGGTAGCAATATAATTATAAATCATAGTCAATGCTAACAATTTCTGACTTCCACAAATATATAGCTCTATTTCCTTTCTTCCTTCCCTCAATAAATAGTTATTAATTAAGAGCAAAACAACCAGGATCAAACAAAGCAACTATAAAAGACATTTTTGAGATATCTAGGTAAATTTGAATCTTTCATGATGTTAAGGAATTACTGTTGTGTGATAATGGTCTTGCAGTCATGTAGAAATGCTTCCTTATTTTTTAGAGATACCTACTGAAGCATTTAAGGATAAAATATCATGATGTTTGTAATTTGCTTTAAAATATTTTAGCCAAAAAATAAATGAAGTGAATATGGAAAAATAATAATTGTTAAATCTAGGCAACGAGTATATCGCCTACTTTTCTGTACTTTGAAATTTTCATTTAAAAATAATGTCTTGAAAATGAAATACTTTGTGCTAGGCACTGGGCTATGAACTGAGGATATAGCGGAACGAAACCAACCCCTGCCGTCCTGGTGGAGCACACAGCCTGTGGGGAGCGTGTTTCCATTAGGAATTCTCCAGTGCAATATGACTGGTGCCTCTAGGACCTGTGCGAGCCTGGCTTTCCTTGTCCCCTCTACAGCATCATCACTGCAGGTGCGTTTTCCCAAGTTTTAAAATCCTACACTCCCAGGAGCCTTGAGTCTAGAGGAATCTCCAAACTGAGGTGCCCTAATATTGCATGTCGAAAATCAGCTCTATGGTGCATGGTGCCCATGGGGTTCACTTCAGCAAACTTTTCCTGAGCACCCACAAGTGCCTGGCACTGTGAAGGTACCAGGACTTAAAAAGTGGATGGCCCGACTCCTGCCCTCCTACCTACTTACAACCTAGAGGAGGAGGTGGAACAGGTCACCAAGCCAGCCAGAGGGAGGGGAGCTGGCTGGAAGGACAACCAGAACAAGCTGCTTCAATGAGGGAGAAAGAGCCCCCAGTGGAATGGGGAGATTCCACTTGGAGAAGGGATGGATGAGCAGTCCTGCACACCCACCTAGGACTGGCAGAAATAAAGACCCAGAGGAGCCAACATGCAGTGTATTCCCTAGTTCAGCGGTTGGCGAACTTTTTTCCTAAAGGTCCAGATAGTAAACATTCTAGGCTTTTCAGACCAAGAGGCAACATCAAGGATATCATGTTGGTACAAGAGAGAAAATTTTCCAAAAAAATTTTTGAGAAAATTCAACACTTCCTTTATGTACACCGAAATGTAAATTCATATAATTGTCATGTCTTAACTATTCTTCCTTTTACCCCTTTTCAACTATTTAAAAATGCAAAAACCACTCTTAGCTCAGGGGCCATACCCAAACAGGTGGTGGCAAGATTTGGCCCACCCACATAGTTTGCCACCCCCTACCTTACATGATGGGCTGCTGCTTAACTGAACGGCTTGTTTTCAGAGCTGCTCTTTGCTGTGGGGACGGGAAAGGACCTGATCTAGCTGTTGGCCCCTGGGTTCCTGGCCCATCTCTACTCCTTCCCAGCTGGGGGTTCTGAAGAATGTCACAACCCTCGTGGACCTCAGTTTCCTCGTCCCTGAAGCCTGAGGGTAATACTCACAGGCTGTGGTGAGGGAAGTAGCGCTCCGTCTGGGACGCGCCCCTTTGTACACAGGAAATATTGGGTTGAGGATGGCCTCGTGGCGAGTCCAGAGCATCCCCAAAGTCCGCAGAGCTGGGTTCTCCTCTCCTGGAGCGAGCTCACTTCTCATAACTAGGGGACTCATAGTCTCCCAGGGATGCCAACCCGAGACCACCCACCCTGAGCCTTGGAACCCGGGTTCTCGGCGCGCCAGAGCATGGTGGGATGAGAGCAGAACCCCCATTCTGAGTGGGAACGCGGGGCGCATGGCGGCCCTCTCCCGCTATCCGGGGGCTTCCAGGGCGCCCAGGGCCCTCGGGTCTGAGCGCCGCGGAGGCAGCGCCGGCGGAGCCCCGGGTGGGGGCGGCTCAGGGCGGGCGCCCCGCAGAGCCGGCAGCGCAGGCCTCGCCGTCGGCGCGCCACGGGGCAGCGAGGGTGCAGTCTGAGCCCCTCACCGCCGCCTGGTTCCCGGCCGCTCCTCGCAGCGCGAGAGGCCGATCCTGGCACCAGAGCCACGCCGGAGCCTCTGGCGGACCTCGAGGATTTCTCGCGCCTGCCAGCCGCCCCCAAACTTTCGGGGCGTACCCGAGGGTGCGCGCGTGGCTCCTAGCGCAGCGGAGTCCCTCCCTCGAGGCCCCGGGCCCGCAGCTGCCCAGCCCGACGCTGCCCGGCGGGACGGGGCGGGAGCTGGCGCTTAGGGTGCGCCGGGGCCTGCCGGGCAGTTGCGCAAGTTGTGCTTGGGCGGCTATAAGAGGGGCAGGCAGGCATGGAGCCCCGGAGGAATCGCGGTGCCAGCAGCTGCGAGGTAAGGCTCGGGCGCGCTCCTTTCTCCTTCACCGCCGGTCTTTCTTGGCAGGCCACAGCACCCCACCCCACCCCAGTCCCTGGGGAAACTGAGGTGGGCGAGGGGCAGGGCGAATGGCTTGGTTCTGGACTACCGTAGCTTCGCACCAGAGGGAAAGCGGCTGGGAGCCGCGGCGCTTTGGATTGTGGGCTGGGCTGTGCCCATTTCCACGGGGCAGGAATCTGCTCAGGGAGCCAGCCAGGGCCCCAGGGGACTTCAGAGCTGCCAGCCCCAGCTCCCTTGAGGGAGATGAGGTGCTTTAGAAATTGCCTTGAGCACGTTCTCAAAGATCAGGGTAACCTGTCCCTATCCGGGGGGGATAAAATTGAGGGTTTGGGGGACACAGGTAGGAGCGTTCAGTTTCTGAGAACTAGATATAGCCCCGCTCTGCTCGCAAGAATTCAGGCATTATTTTCCAGCGGAGATTATTTTCCAGCATGGGTCCTGACCTCTGAATGGGAGTGGCCTACAAGGCTGAGACCTAGGGTTAGGAGAAGATGGAGTAGAGATGTGGAGAAAAACTGTCGGGAAGAACCCAAATCTCTCGAGAAACTGTGCTGGGTCTTACCATTTCTGCTCTCAAAGCCGTGCAAATTGCCTTCTTCTACAATGGATAAAATAGGGTTTCTCTGGGGTGACAGAACAGCAGGTCAGGGGAAAGGCCTGTGACATGTTTCTCACTGTTGCCACCCCTCTAGCCAAGACCGCCAAATAACACCCTGTTGGCAGGTGGGCCCCAGGTGAGACCTACCAGGCCTGCTGATAGCCTGCCTTCTCTCCTGGCTTGGTTTAGATTTCCTTGTGCGTGTGGTCACCTTTACACTCCAGTTTCTATAACTTAAAGACGGTGGCACTTTGGAAAAGTGACTCCTTAAATACATTTAGATCCAAGTGTGACAAGTAGCCTGGTTGTCATTTGAGAATAGCAGCTTTGGAAAGACAAGATGATTCCTTTCTGCTGGAAGGGTGGTCTTCAGGGGAGGCAGGGCACAGGGCAGGGACTTGAAGGCACTGCCCCAGGATCACAAGCCTTTGACTCGCCTTTGTAGGATCTGACCTCTATCAGCTCCCTTGTGTTTGTCCTGTAGAGTTCTGAGGTGGCAGTGGTCAGCTGAGGCTGGTGGGAGAGGGTGTTCCCAATCTCTTTCCCACCAGGATGCTCTGCAGAACCACAGTCGCTCCCATTCTAACGCCCTCATGAGCAGAAAGGCCATGCTGATCACTTCTCTCATTTAAGTAGAGGGGGTAGGCAAGAGAAAAACAGTGGATGTTTTCAGGTTCTTTCTTTTTCAAGCAGTTGTGGACACTGGGCTGAGGGGAACGTTACCATGTTGGTCAAAGGAGCGTCCTTCTCATATTTTGTATATCTTATGCCCAAAATAACTCTTCTTGGTATTTGGGGAAAATATCCCCCACCCCGACCCCGCTCCGTTCCAGGAAATGGCTCCAAGTGCCAAGGAGTGAGCCAGGGAGATTGCAATGAATTCTTGCCCATCAGCCCCCAGGCAGATGCCTCTTGTGTCTGAGTGGCCCGTGCAGGGTACGGAGGTGGCTGCTTGGGAGAGCTCTCCTCTCAGAACCCCAGTCATTGTCCCCACTCCAGCCTAGATGCCACCCAAGGGAATGTGGAGGTCAGGGAGAGAGAAGGGGCTCTAGGGAGGTGGAGTCCTTGAACAGCATGCATGTAATTTAAAGGAAAATCGAGCCAAATTCTCCTGCAATCAGTCAATCAGTAGGCCCTGTGTGGCAGCAGCTCCATTCTGGCCGGCCAGCTGTGAGCCTTGAAATTCTCCTTTTTCCACACAGTTGTCTCAGAGAAATAGAAAGAGAGGTTGTTGCTGCTTAAAAACAACACCTGATGCCTGGGCCCATGGAATCCTTTACACTTATTCCAATGCTTGATAACAGATGTGCCTTGCCTCTCAGCAAACTGCATTTTACAGCCTTTCCTGCTTGGTTTGCCAGCTCTCTGGCAGCGAATCCATGATCAGTGTCAATGCTGACCTCTTACCGATTCTGTAGAAGATTTCATCCCCATCTGTGCACACATTGCGTTTGTACTCTGGGGTGCCCCAGGCCGGAGGGTGCCAAGGAAGAGGCGGGAAGCCACAGGGAAGACAGGAGGGGCAGAGCAGAGGTCTCTGAGAAGGGCAGGTGGCCCAGAGCACAGCAGCAAGAGCCAGGCCGATGAGTGGGACCAAGGCAGGGAGTCAAGACGGAGCAGAACTCAGGAAGCTGAAGGGAATCAGGGCCCACGTGGTGCTAGAGGACACATATGAGGTGCAGGAAGCTGACCAAGGTCCCCATGAAAGGGAGACCTGGACACTGAAGCATTTCCTATCTTCATTTAGAAAGCTTCTTAGGAATTCCTGCTGGGCAAAAGTGAAGTCTAGGATGTGACTTTAAGATGGGGACAGGTGAACCATCATTGAAGTAGGTTAACCTGGTTAGAAAATGAAGATCAGGGATGGAAAATATTTCACTTATTCATTCAACAAATATTTAATGAGCAAATGCTCTGTGCCAGGCCCTCAAGAGATGCTGGAACAAGTGGCATATCCACCACTCCTGCATCTGGCAGACATCATTAATTGATCACAGCACCCTCTCCCTCTGAGTCTGGATGGAGCTTCAGATTCCCCTCCACACAACACTCCAGAATTGATGGGAGTTGACACAGGAATGGAAACCTATTTATCCCTGATGGGATCAGATCTAAGAGTAGTTTCTGGTGAACAGGAAGAATATAACCCTGTACACCCATGCTCTGGCTACTGGTTAAGTAGGTTAACATGATTTCTCAAACGAGCCTCTTGGTTGCACTCATGCTAGCTCAGTTTTTTTCAACCTGTATATTGTGACCAAAATTTAAAAAACAGAACACAGACTCTCAAAAGTGCATCACCCATAGGGTGAATTTATTTCCAGACATTTGTTTCTCTTACATATGTATATCTATATGTCTCCCAGATGAAAAATATACTCAGCAAGTTGAAAGCTACTCAAGTGAGTATACTTGGAAAAGAGTATCTCACACTGGAAGCTAAGGACAGGGAGGGCCCAGAACCAACAAGGTCAGGAGCCAGAAAGAAAGTCAGGAAGGAGCACTGCTAGTGACCGTAACCCACCTCTCAGTGGCTGGATGGACCCTGGTCTCTCTCAGCTACTCCACGCACAAGAGGCCAACCGTGGCTACCCCAGAGCATCTGAGCCCTCAACAGAGACAAACTAGGCTCTCTGAAGCCCTACTTTAACTTCCTGGGAGAGAGGCAACTGACCCAATCAGTGATTGGAGGAGGAAGGGACAAGGAAAGGGAAGAGAAAAGAGTAGGGTCTCTTGCCTACCACTGGTCATGCAAACATGGCCTCCAGGGCTTGTGTGTGTGTGTGTGTGTGTGTGTGTGTCTTGAGTAGGGCGGATTCTCCCCGAGGTCCCTACCACACAAAGAATCAAACCCGGGACATTCTAGCTCTCCAGCCTCACCTTCTACCATATTGAGTTCTCCCAAACCCACCACATTTTCCCCAACTCCACACTGTCCTCTTGGCCTGGAATGCTCTGCTTGCCCTCTTCCCCCTGGGGAGCTCCTGTCTTTCAGCTCTCAGTTCTAATATTGCCTTCTTTGCCATGCTGTCCTCACCTCCCCAGAGTCACCCCCTTCCTCTATTGTTCCCGGGTCCTATGCTCCTCCCCTCATAACCTTCACCAGGTTGTGTCAAAATAAGTTGTTTAAGCTTCTGTTCCACTGGATTCTGAGTAACTTGAAGGACCAGGATCCAATCTTCTCTCTATTTGTCCTTTGTCCTTTCCCCATCCTCCCCTTCCAACTTGAAGTTAGGGAGAAAGGAAGGAAGGAAGGGAGAGAGGGAAGAATAGGCGGGAGCCCACAGGAAGAATTTCTGCAGGGAGAGGGCTTAGATTATCCGAAGCTTTTTCCTCATAATTAAAAGCAAACACCACATTACCCGAATTTAATTCACACTAGCATACCAAAAATTACCAGAGAGAGGGGTGTAGAAAACCTAAAGGCTGGAGAAAAGAAGGAAGAGAGAAGAGTGTGCTGGGTCCCTTGTTAACCTCTGCTCCTTTCAACCAGGAGAAGACAGAGGAGTTTGGATAGCTGAAGTCTAGCAGCCTCCGCCAGGGAATGCCTCTGTGAGCCAGAGCTCTCTCCACCTTCCCCCCACTGCTGTCATCAGAAGGCTGAGGGCAGGCCTGACCTTGGCCCAGCAAACCCTCTAACCTGGATCTAGAGAAGCGCCCCCCTACCTTGACACAGAGGACCCTTACTTGGTCTGCCTCATCCCCTGGGACGGGATGGAAGGTGAGGGAGCGCCCGTCTGGAGGCCACCATCTTCATGGGGAAGTAGGAGGCGAGCTTGTCTGTGGAGAAGGCAGAAGTGGGGGTGGGCAGTGGGAAACTACCAAGTGCGGATGGGGTTGGGGCTCAACTAGGGATGAGTAGAGGTGGGCCTTCCCCCAGGACCCAGATGAAGTCAGAGAGGGGGAAACTGTGTCCTCTCCCGCTGGCCTGGAGCCTGTTTTCTGTGATTACATTTCATTATCCAGTGCTGCCCTGGGGGGCTTCATTTTCTGTTTTTTCTGTTTTCTTCTCTAGTGCATCCATGGCAGGGGATGATGGTAGAGATGATGGGGAGTGGCAGGGTCTTAATTAAAGGAGAGGGAAGGCTTTGAGGCAAAAGCCAGTGAGCAGGTGGCCCAGAGGATGAGCAGAGGGGAGTCACGGGGGAGCCAGCAGAGTGGAGGGCAGTGCCCTGAGGCAAGCCCACCAGGCGGTGTGTGCACATGGTCCATTGGCCCCCTGCCCTCCCCCAGTGGTACCTGTCTCCCTCTCCAAGCTCCGCTTGAACGAGGGTCAGAGGAAAATAAAGAGATAGGATGTCGTATCAACATTCCAGCGGTTCAGCTTAGAAAATGACAGCTCCTAAATGTTTAAAAC